CTGAAATTCTTTCTAATAATATAACACCCAAACCATTTATTATCCCCGTTCCACAGGACAGCTTTTTTTTTTTGCCAGTTTTTATTGTTTTTATCTGCACAGTTCCATCACTATATTGGTGTTTCAAACTGCACGTTTTGTAGTATTTTCCAAGTACCAGACAGATTACTCAAAGTCCACCAGAAACTAAAGAACTGACAAAGTCCACCGAAAGGTTTCCAGTCTTGGGGACATAGTTTGGAAAAAACCTTACAATTTTAATGCCATCTGAAGAAGAACTTCAAGTGAAACCTGACATTTCTGAAAGCACTTTTTCCCCAAAGTATTCCCAACTGAGAAGCCTTACAGCAGCAACAAAGAAACTTTTTGCCAAGCTAAAACTACCTCAGCTGGAGAACTGTCAAGAGAAAAGTGAGGTCTATACAACAGACTATATAATGCACTAGTTTATATAATGGACTGGCCTATATAACGGACCGGGTCTAGAGAATCAGCAGAGATTAACCTACAAACTTACAGAGAAGACCTGAAAAAAAGCAGAACTCGGTGGCAGGTTCAGATGAAGCCTTCAACCAATTTCTTAAGTCTCAAGTACACAATATATTATATAAGGGCAATTTCATGCAAAGGTCCATTTAATGTCACGTCCATTACGCTGATGTGTAAATCAATATATGAAGGATTGACGATTTGTTTATATTCAACCTAAGAGGTTACATGAAAAGATATGCAGACTGATTCATTGATACAGTCTGTCCATGCTCTTGGCAGACATTCTGTTTGCCAATGTCACACCCATAAGGCTAGAATTCCCTACAATATGTCTACGTTATAATACATACATGCATCTGCTAAACTCTAGCTCGAGGAGTTAAAAGGTGAGATTTGAGAAAAATTCAAGAAATGTTGAGGGAGTCTATGTGTCAGATGATAGTCTTGTTCCTATCTCCATCCAAATGTGTTTATTTAAAGGGTGTATTGAGGAACTCCTTCATAGCAAAGCACAAACCCTGGTGGATATGTGTATATTGCAAACAAAGCACTTGACAGTTCTCACATGGAAGGAAAAAAATAGACTTTGAATGACCATTGATTAAAATGAAATGTGTTTTTGCCTCCCTATGAAAATATAAGGAAACAAATACTACTATGACAGAATAATTAATCACAGTAATAATTCTGATATTTAATTTTTTTTTAAATACCGCAACCGACCTGAGAGGTAAGAAGGCGGGAGGGGGGTAATTATTAATCTACTCCTTTCCAGAGTCTTGATCTTTCCCAGAGATACTTATGGTTACTCAGCTTTAGCAGAGATGAATTATATATTAAGTTGTCAATAATTCCCATAATTCCCAATTCAAAAAATACTTTTAAAATAATTATCAGTTTTTCTCCTCTTTACGATTATGGTTCATGTTTTCAGAAATGGACTTAATTTTTAAAGACCTGGGAAACAGGTCCAAAGATGCTCAGGAAACAGCTTAACAGACAATAATGATGTTAGGTTGCCAAGCCTCAACATTGTGTAGGAAAAGGGAGCTTTACCCACATATGGTAAACAGCCTTACAGACTTCTGAACTGAATAAACCACTCCTACTAGAATTTTCAGTAGTTGGCCTACATCTATAAGAAATTTGAGAAACTGTTACTAGGCCCTCTGTAAATGAATACAAAAAAATCTATAAAATTTGTGGCCTAGTGAAGTTTGATAGCAATGCATGCATTAAACAGCATCCTTTTAATAAATTGGCATTTATTTACTTTACAATATTACATTTAGGGTTGCGGGGGGGTTTGGAACTTATCGCGAATAGGACAAGAAGTTACAGAAAGTGGATGGATGGATGGATTATTACATTTAAACTGGAATACAAAAACAATAAAAACTGAAAAAGTCAAAGAAAGATCGCAGTACTGTTCACAACTTCAGAGCATTCCAAGAAGGTTAAACCCGGCAAATTGCTACCAACCAAGATGAGATCGTGCAACAAAAGACAAACAAACAGAACTGATTTTCTGCAGCAAAGTCAGTAATCTCAGATATACAATACACACAATAACACAAAGACTTCCAAGCTGATACATGCTTGTGACCCTCCTTGTGCACTCACAATAGGCCGTTATCAAGAACAATCTCTCACATCCTTGGCAAATATGGAAATCTTTTCATTTGTGCTGTAAGAGCTTATTGCATTGGTCACACTGGTACACAGTAACGATAAACCACAACCAGAAAAAAGAAACAAAGGTTCACCATCAATTTTGTCTGCATTACTATAAACCACCTACCATTCAACACAGCAGACAAAGATCTCAGATCAATGTAGAATTTATTTAATAGAACACTCACTTCGCTAAGAAAGAAAATCCAAAGGCGACCAAAGTCCTGGCCGTCATATCCGATATCTAGTCCTAAACTGGTCCATTTCTTGGTCCTACAGAACATTCTGTTGCTTCAGAAATGGTCTCATGTGACTGTGCTGTAACTCAGCATAGCTCCACAGCTGCTGTCTGTCCTAGTCAAAGCTTTACTATAGAATGTCACCTGAATTCCAAAAGGGGCTTGTGGGGATTATTCATGAAGGGATTGGACAGTGAAGTACGTTCAAATCACCTCTGGCACAGTACTACCTGCACATCAGTTCAAATTGGAATTGGGGCAAAGATTCAGTGCTATTTCTCAAGAAAAGGTAAGGAAAAGAGAAAGCCAGTGGCATGTGCTATGTGATTGGGTCTGCAGCTTGGTAGAATGGACAGCATTATGTATAGTGAGCACACCTAGATGGAACAGGCAAAGTAATAGTCACCTCAGACCCATAGCTTGGGTCCTCTGCCAAGCCCCAAAGGTGATTTTAATCATAGGAGGAATATGAAATAGGTGAATACTTCCACACCACGAGAGTCTGTCTGCACACTGTGCCTTGTCAGAATCCTTACAGGCCTGATTTCAGTAACTGCCCAATCCGGGACTGAAGGGATGTTGGATGAATCACGGCTGCTGTGTGCCTTTGGCTGGCCTGGAGTGGTCACAGTAGGATTTCAAAGTCTGAACGGAGATTAATTAGTCATAGCCCCTGGAGTCTTTCTTTATCAGCAGGTTTTTTTCCCCCCTTCTTCCTCGATAGACTGCAAGACACTGAGCAAACATGTGCTGGGTGCTGGGCTAGCCGTCAAGGCCAAAATACACAATGAGAATAAGAACAATTGTTAGCAAGAGCAAAAAACTAGTTCTCCTTTATAAAATAAAACAAAGGCTTCAAAGACTATGCTCCCTTGGTTATCCTGGAATTGGTAAAATCAAAATAGTTCACAATTTACTTCAGCTCTGCAGGGGATATTTAACATGTAGTTAAAACACAATACCGAGACAGAAGAATCATTCAATGGCACACAATTGCAGGCACACAAACCCCCTCCCTTATAGAACTTCTGTAAGGTCTACTGCATCTAAAATAGCACTCGCAAATCAATCTATTTTTTTTTCCTCTTCCAGTACATTGAAACTGAACATGAAGGTCTTTGCAAAGCCAGTATCACTACAGACAGTGCATTGTGTTTTATTTTTTTGACAAAAAGATAACTAAACAAAATGAGGAATTTAACAGCCTGCAGACCTCATCCACCCATGGTCAGTAGGGTTTGCAAGACACTGATACAACAACTGCAACCAGAGGTGTAAAAGACCATAGCCTTTTTTGGAGATGTCCTGTATTTAGAGATAAGAAAACAGGACATGCATTGTTAATGAGAATGACACGATGCACTATTTAAGACAAAAGACTTTCCAGAGAGGCCTTTGCATCTCCAGACTACACTAATCTCCTCTTTACATAAAGGATGACAACTGTCCACAGCCCAGTCATCAACCAACACGATTCAGCCTTCCATAAGTAATGCTACTTTCAGCCTGATAACAGTGTAACCTGCTTCCCAGAAAAAATAGACAGAATCTATAGTATCTACGCACCAAGAAAGAAAAGCAAAAAAAAATAAAATAAAAATTATACTACACAAACATCTGCAGCTCCACCAGGACACAAAACTAGTTTAAGCACTTGAACTAAATTCACCAACTAAAGGTTTACTGTATATAATATCTAATATGGAGAACCAAACACATGTCTGCTATCTGGGCACATCCACAATAAAATGCAGCCAAGTCAGGCAAGAGTTGAGTCGAGTTGGTTTAGGTCTCAGTTTTCAACAGGACAAGCTATTTACAATACATAATTTGCCAGGAGTGACACATATTTCCCAAGTATTCTCTACATTGTTCAGCTTACAAGTATCAAGTAACCAATAGGTATTGTGTCAGTGGCTCTTTTAGTGTATAAATGTTTTGATAAGGAAGAGACGTGTTTACAGTACTGGTAGTCTATCATGTACAATGCCCAAAGACAGTAACATTAATTTACTTTTCAAACAAAATTAACTGCTTTTATCTGGGACATTTCATTCAGAAGAAGTTGACACAGAAATGAACGCTGCCTTGGTAAAGCATTATTTGTCACAGTAAAATTTTAAAACGATATTTACCAATTCTAATGAAATGCAAGGTACGGGGTTTTCAGTATTACAATGTTTCGAATCATAATTTGACATAAATGTAGGTATAATAAACAGTGTTTATAAAATAAAAACCATATGCCCCACCAACTGGCAAAATAATAAGCTCGCCCGTATAAATACGCCGCTACATGGTATCAGGAAACATGCCCTGAACAGTTCGCATCGAGGGAAAAACGTGACATCTCAATGAATGAAATAAAAAGATATACAATAACCCACATTTGTTTATCTAGCTAATCTTTGTTAACAGCATTTCAGTTTTGTGCGTGTCTTTGGGGGGGGGGAAAGTATCGCTAGAGATTACTTTTAGTAGTACACGTATGATTATATTCAAATGCTGTCACATCTGCAGATTGACATCTTCTTTTGGCTATCAAACTGTCTATTTGATTTCGACATGTAAGGTTGATGTAACAAATCCACTTACCCGTTACGGTAGGAGCCTCGTCATGTTCTCATTTACAGAACCAGCCGGAGGGTGAGATCGCTTTCAAACGCCACTAAGACTCTTCACTAATCAGCATATACTTTACCTGCCAACCGGAGCCTGTTTGTACACTTAGCTGCATTGCTAAATATCTAGCTAGCCTTCTAATTCACACACACCAAACCCCTCACACCAGCATGGTAGCCATACTAATATTTCCAGGGTAAACTAACGAGTTCTCCCAAAAACGTGTGTGAGTAGTCTGATGTGCATTCGCCCGTAAAGGCACCATGCTAACGTCACCAGTGAGGCTCGGTGTGCATCGCAAGTTCACTGACTACTGACAGGTCGAGTAGCAAAACAACAGCAGAAATGCATGATCGGGAGCAGCCCGAGGTATCACTTGCGTATCCCAGAATGCAAAGTTTACGTCCCTGAATGCTAGAATGCTGCTTAGAATGGTCGGCGATTAATGTACCAGACAGTGTCTTGTTACCTACTTTCGTGGTATATAGCTACAGCACAGTTTTTCCATCGCCCTTCACACTCGTTTCGTCCTACCCTGGTGCGCTGCGATCGTAAGTATGCGGGTGGAGGGTTTGCCTGATATTTTTCTCTCCTCTCTCTGTGCATCATCACATTCCCGTCTCAGGCCACGGTTTCCCCATCGTTTACTAGACTACAAAAAATGCCTACCAATCTAACGGAACAGCAGTAGTGGTTTTTCAGCTGTATTTTTAACTGTTTTTTTTTTACCGTATGTTAAACAGCTTGCGTCCATGTCTCAATATGTCGCGTTGATATGTCTTAGTACTGTTTCTTGCACTACGAGATTTCATATCAGTGTATCATTATTGAATGATGCGGATGAAGGTGACAATAGCAAAATTTTAACTTGACTTTGACTAGCAGAGCAGGGACAGAAAAATCGCCTTGAATGATATGTTGACGTTTCGGTGAAAAACATGTTTTTATATATTTTTTTTCTTCACCACTGGCAATAGCCTAAAGGTGGCGTACAGTCCCCATGTCATTGACAAAACTGAACAGCTTGTGTCATGTTTTCTTGGATTATTCTGCCAATGAAAATGGATATCTTCACAGTATGTTCAGGTGCATGAAGTTAAGATAAGACCAAAATAGTTGCAGCTGTTCTAAAAATTTTAATGACTTTGTAGCTACTGTGGACCTTTTCTGGCTTTGTCACATGGTCTCTATACTTTTTGGTATTAAGAATTATGTATAGTATATATCTAGTTGTCAAAAAATATTGATTTATTTGGGAACAAAGTGCTAAATAAATTATCTTAAGTGGAGAGTGCCTACCTTTATAACCATCTTAGGATGAAGTCCAGTCCAAGAGAGTAATCCTCACATTTTAATATCCCTTAAAAAGCACTTAGGATCTTCAAATCAACTAACAAATGAATAAATATTCAGAGAAACAGTATATTGCCAATAAAATGATTTCCATCCTTGGCCCAAAAATATGGTCAACTGAAAGACTAACTGTCAGGTTTCACTAAGTAACCTATGCACTATGGGTTTGAGTCCCATCTGGGTCAGGCATAACATTGTTGGGAGGCAGTGTGTGGTGCTTCTGATCAGAACGTCACTGGTTTGAATCCCACAGTTTTCAGAATGATGGCACCATTGGGCCTTTGAACTGGGGTCTCACTCCCAATTGTTCCAGGGACTATCCAACCCTGTTTTGACAAAAACAAAAAAAATGTATGTCTCTTTGGATCAATGCATCTACTCAATACATGTTTCGAATTTTGTACATAATATCTAAATACTGCTATTTTTTAATTTACCATAGATCTAAAAAAAGACCAACAGACTTTAGTCTAATCATTTCCATAGATTTTTTAAAAACATTTTTAATATCTGCACCTTATGTACAAAATGGATGCTTTACAGTATGTACAGACTTTATCTGCATGTATCATCAGAAGGAGGAGCCTGCCTAAGTAACAGAAACAGTCCAGTTTTAACATATTTTAACATTAAGGTTTGCAGCCTGTATTTAACAAAATTAGCTTTATATATCACTCCTAACAGGAGATTCAGCAGAATTATATATGGTCTAATCAGAGAGCAATGAAGACGCTCTTGGCTATAAAACAGTGCAGCAATGAATTGTGCCTGCTACTATTTCTCTTAAATCACACCTTCTTAAATTATTCAGTTTAATTCAGTTCAATTAAATTAATTTTGTATAGCGCCTTTCACAACACAGTCACCCCAAGGCACATGACATGAATGTATGGCAATCCATTACTACATCATTTATTGAAAATGGTGCATGAAACATGGGAAAGAGAACAGGGAACGAAGGAAAGTCAGAAGACTGTGGAGGACAGGAACCAAAAACTCCCAAGTAAGTAAAAGAAAAACATCTGGGGGTCCAAAGGTGACTGGTTGCCCCCCCCCCCCCCCCCCCCCCCCCCTCCTCCCAGGCATACTCTGACATTATTGAATACAAGGAAAATTAGCTTGCTTTAATAGTTTATTAACAAGATGTAAACTATTATTATTTTATTTAACAAGATGTATGGCGATAATAAACTATGGCCATAGTCACTGCAGTGAACCATTCACGCTATTCACATTTATAAAAAAAAACCTATGTGTGGATTCTCAATGATTGAATGTTGGTGGGATCATGTAAAGTAAATACAGGGTCCATACCATCTCAAAAACCCCAGAACAAAGACTGAAAAGACCAAGTTCAAGAGGATGTTTTGTTGCCAGATGTTGTGTAAACCCAGTATCCCAAATGCTAACCAGTTCAACAAAGTGTTAATCGCTCTCCCCAGTTTGAAACACTGGCCACCATATCATCCCTTGCATTCCATAAATTGCAGCTCAAAATACACTCATGACTCATAAGCCTTTTACCAGTGGCCCATAATAGCCTATCATAATGATTACATGCATGGTTACAGCAATGGCTGTCAAGATGTTTTCCCTGGTCTATTTGCATAAATATCCAGGCCCTAATCAAGGTAGGGAGCAAGACCGATGTCTCTAATGCAGCTCATGCTGCTTTCCTCCGATGCATAGTGTATTGGCAGAAATGACTTCCTGTAAATGGTAATGATTGTAAGAAGTTTAGAGAATCATTCTATTGGTATTGCTTAATATCTCATAGATAATTACAGGAAAATCCAGTGTGAGTACACTGTCCATACGGTGCAGCATGTGCATTGTGAGTTATGAAAAATAATCCTGTTTTCTGATGAACCACTATCTTGTCGGATATGCATATTATTGAAAGGCTTTTCTACATGTCCATCCTGTAAGTCTTGGTTGTTTTTGTCCATCTGTCTGTCCATCTTCTTTCCAACATTTTATCCAATACTGGGTTGCAGGTTACTGTTTTCAGATTTGTATAGTTTTGTTGTGTCCTTCATATCACTGTAATTGAGTTTCTTTCACAAAAGAGTACTGCTGACATTATAAACATTATAAACACTTGTTAAAAATAACGATAATTGTTTTGCATGTAAATTTTACTAAGATTTTTCACCTAGGTGATCCTTACTTTGCTTAAAGACTGAAATTGCAGCGGTGCAGCAGTGATTGTGGAAGAAAGTCATTGATGCATTATCAGTGGCCGAGGTTGATTGTAGTCTGACCAAAGAGCGTGGGTAAAACAAGCAACAACTACCTGCTTGGAAGCTATTATAAGGAACTCGCCACAAACGAGGGATCTAGCCATAAAACAAGAAGCGACTGTGAGGGTAGAGTAACAGCCCTAATGGACTAAATTGTCAACATTATGATATGTGGATGGTTTAGTATTTATCACAACTATCACAGTATTTATGGGAAATGAGTACATGCAAAGGCAGCAGTAGCATTCCCCCAAAACGCACATTAAGCATGTGTTTGCAGCATCTTATTAAATTGCCCAACATCATATAGTTCAACCAAAGCTACTAAATCCCAGTTTACAGAGTTTATCGAACACAGCTAAGCATCAAAATAAGAAGTTTGTTTTATAATTTATGTTCAAAATGTGATTTCTTTGCATTGCATTGGTTTTCAAATGAAGATTTTTAAACTGTACATTAAATACATAATACAATATATGTGTCAGCTTCGGGATGGAACGCGAGCACGGAAGCAAGCGAATGAAGCCAGAAGGTCCAGTGCAGGGTTTATTGTAGGTAAAAGGACAGGTGCAGACAACGACGGACCATACAACGATGACAGATCTGGGGAATACAGACTGAGACTCGGACTAAATACACAAGACTAGGTAACAGAACGAGCTACAGGTGGG